TACAAACGAAACCCTTCTTTTAACGTAGGACTATAATTTTTTGTCAAATATTTTTAGGAAATTTTATTTTTAACGTAAGAAAAATATAATAATAAAGAAATTTGCAGTCAATGTTTACTATGGTTTACATTTATCTGAGCATTTTAAAAGTACTTCAATATATTGGTAAGGGGAAATGTGTCAAAAACTCTCCCGTGGGAACTACAAAACTCCCTACTAACTGTTAGGCTTTCGTTAGAAACATAACGTCTATGTATGTACATCCTAAAATAGGGAAACGTTAATGTATATAAAATCCGAGTCTCTATCTGTCCTGGGTAGCAGCTGGTGCCTCACACGTCGGAAAATTTGGAGCTCCGCTAAAATTAGACCTTTCCGGAATTGTCTGTAAATGTTATCCAATGAAAGTTTGTTGAATAGCGTAGTGCGGAATAATTATTTCTAGATCTATCTATAGGATTTTGAACGTGATATTGTCTACTGATTCTGTATATGATATTAGTTATATCATTTGATAAGGAGATGACTCGCTAAGCTGCTAAGCTATTGGCTTCGGCGCCGAGGTTCGTGGGTTCGATTCCCACACGGGACAAGTATTTGTGTGAACCACAGATAAAAGTTCCAGATCCAGATATGGAATTCCTCCCTGATGTCATTCCTCGTTTGCTAAACGAGGAATGACATCAGGCAGGTGGCTGGTTGTAAAAAAACTAGGCAAAACCACTTGCATCGTGATACACAAGTTTTGTCGAACCAACCTAGATGAGATAAGGGAAGGTGATGAAGATTATAAAACCTATGAGGAGACACTACAACACTGAATTAATCTACCTACTTTTGTGGATTTATCGCGTTTATTTCTCATTTTACTTCCCGACGTTTCGATCCCTTTTCCCACAGCTATGACATTCAGGCGTCCCGCTGTAAGAAAAATTAATATTTTAAAAATCGACGGTAGCCCGGACTAACTATGGCATTCAGTTGTTAAACGCCTCAGTTTATCTCGTGACCATGAACGCTGAAAAGGTTTCGAACCATCGGTAGCTAAAATTAATGGTAAACGCGATAAATCCGTAAAAACAGTTCGATTCAGTAATGTGTAATCGCGTAAATACAAGAAATTATCAGACATTACAGCAGTCAATAACAGATCTAATCGTTTCCGTGTGGAGTTAATCTTGGACAAATTGTATCGATGTTGATACATTTACTGAGTCAATCACGGTCATTGTGATGGACTCAGTTTGGCGTTTCCACTTAGAAGGCAACCACTATTCCTTCAAGTAAGACGCCATGGAATAATCGGCATATATAAGAAAGTGAAATCTGTTCAAAAGAACTTGGGATAGAAATTTGACACTGTATATGTAGTTGTTTATCTTTTCTGCATTTGCGGCAGAAGCCGGACTTTATTATTTGATTTATTAAAATAACAATTTATGTTAAGCAGAATTGAACTAGACTGTAGTGTAGATAATTCAACGTTTACGGATACGAAAAATCAGGGGGACCATTGCTCGCCGTTAGGGCGACCACACGAACGAGCATACCACTCGTTTGTGAATAGTAAAATTGCTTTACAATCTTAAAAAAACTTTTATATTAACAAGGTTTGTTAGGGCTGTTACGAAATCTTATAAATTAGTATACTCAATTTGGAGTTTCACTTAATTTAGTATGAAGTTCATTTGTTAAAGTAAACTAAATTTGTTATTTCAACAAAATGTCAAAATTTTGCATTCGTAAATCATGAGGTATAGATAGATACAGGTACTCTTTCAATATCACTGTTTCAGGACTATCTTTTGACATTTATTTTTTTAAAGTAAATATTTATAAATCATTTATTTACAAAGAAGTAAACCTACTTCAATGAATATGTTGATTTTTACGTCTATTTGTCATGTCAATGTCTAATATGTTATTTAGACATTCAGCAACGAATTTTTCTTGTCTTTACTCATGGGCGTGTTTAAGCCCCCCCTCCAAAGTACCGGAAGTATTACAATAATACGTTATTAACACATTTTTTTATAAATTTAAATACAATATATATAATTCAAATTCTAAATAATACAATAAGAAACATATTTGTATTAAACGTTATTTTATCATACTTCTTTGTAAGGTTCATTTTCGTTATTTTATTTTCTGCCGATATTATAAAGTGAGTACGTCCGTGTCTCTACTCCTAAAACTATGGCCACATGAGACGCGTACGTGAGCGTTTCTTCTTCCTATTCGGCACGGGGGAAGCTGAGATTCAGTTTTAAAAAGATATAAAGTCACTTGTAGGCAACCCCTTGGGGCATTTTGTAAGTTTTGACCGTCATTTACCATTTGCGTCCTTTTATTTTCAGTAATGCGATCATTTTAACTTTGGAGATTGTTTATATTCAAGCATGAAATACACAGAAACAGCATGATATCTCGCTTTATAGCCATTAGGTAAAATTATACTTGTAATAAGAATAATAATAATCATCAAATATATTATGTTAAAATTTCATCTACGATTTTGAAGGACAATGTTTCGTTTAAAATTATTGTTTTCTTTAAAAAACTTTAAAAAGATAAATAATTTAGGAAGCGCCATCTGTTGTTAATATGTTTATATAAATGGATATTTCTGTTTATGTTTCCCTTTTTTTTTCATATCACAGGCACGTTTATATTCTATCTATATGTAAAATATTACACTAGTTAATAAATTTTAATGAATCATTATATTCTTCAGAATAATTCGTACCATTAAATTAAAAAAATGTTAAGGTTTTAAAGTTCTTCATAGTGCTAATCTCTGCACTTAATTTTTTTTTCTACATGTTTTAAATGTTAAAGTGTTCGCAACTTGGGTAAATATATATAAATAAAATAATAGAGGGGCGTTGTGCGCGCATCTAGCAAAATCTAATGGATTGATTTCAATCAATTCTTCTTAGTTTTACTTATTAGACACTAATTCCTTACATTAAAATAAACTATTGTTACATCTTCATTTAATGTATCTTGTTAAAGTTTTAAGAAACAACGATTTTCATAAACAATACGTGTTCAGGGTTGTATACTTTCACAGAGTGATGTCTCTATACAATATAATGTGCCTATTCTTACTTTAATCTCTATAAAATATGCATTTATAGGTTATTCCTCTGAGCATGAGATACACGATTAATATAATAAGCAACGCAGACGATGTTGCAGGTATCAGCTATATAAAACAATATCAAACACGTGAAATAGTTTTATGTAATCACAATTAATACTCTGGCCTAAAGTAACTGCATATACTGAAAAACAATTCGGTTTTGTAAACCTGTATCAGACATAGAAAAGCTGCTGGGCTACAGTCAATTGATAAAGCTCAATTGAGCTACGAGCGTAGGAGCTTTCGTAGCCCCATTATTTTTCACACAAGACCAAGGGATAACGGGATATACGCCGTAGCCGCAAGCGTTGCCCGTTCATTTGACATTCAACGATAGTGGCGCCCCCCGCGGCGGGCTTTTTAGATAACGATTTACGACTTGCTGTGTAATTTTACCCTGCTGTTTACTCTACATTTGCAGAAATACCTTGCTCAGTAGTTAACACGACTATACAAATTTAAATTGAACACCAATCTACGGGTTACTAGTACAAACTACAGATATTTACTGCAAACTCTATAAATGTAATGCTTACGACTCTGAAACCATTGTTAAATACTATAAATAACTATTAGTTATTTATAGTATTTAACAATGGTTATTACTTTACAGACTTCGAATTAATATGACTTTACAGATATGCTTTTGATTATTTATCATTAGTAAATAGCTCAGAATAGTTAACCGCTATCCAATGGTCCTTCGCAGATTGAACCGTGATTACATTAAGAATGACAAGATCATTAACTATATCTAAATGCATCTATCGACTTTCTACAAGATAAGTAGGTACTTTAAGTTCGTCGAATGAAGAACCTTGTCAATGGTCATTAACATACCTAATTACTAGGTTTCTTCATGTATTTAAGTGCATCTATTAACTTTCAGTAGTTCTACCTAAGTTTTAGATCCTTTGTATTTTATAACATGACATGATCTATTTAAAACAGGAATACATAATTTATTTGCTAGTGAATGATAGTAACATAAATTTTTCTGTCAAATTTTCATGTATAGAGGCATATATTCGTCGCCCTAATCGGCTGTAATAACGTCCATGCGATAACATCGCAAAAAGGTCTCGAATAACAGCGACTTGCTATTTATTTTGTACTTGTATTATATACGAACTTTCAGGAAAATAAGCTTATTTTGCCTCTCCCTTACCCGTTAAATATAACTGCCAACATGTGTGGAACAATTGACCATATAACTTGACATAGTTATGCATACGCATTCGGCGAGTTAAACATTAAAGTATTTCCTCACTCACTCAGTCAGAGTCAAGTAAAATTGAAATGTGTATGATTTCAAATGAAGTACAAACATTTAAGTAAAAAACTTCTCTTTGTACTATAGCTAATCTAATTATTCCCTCTTTTAAGATTTTAAGGCTGTGTGTCTATCTGAAAGTATAAATTCAAAGCAGTCTCGTGACAGATTAATATATTTCAACGTCAACTTTAACTTAAGTTTTATTCTTCGTTATATATTAATATGTTGCTGGATTTCGAATATAGATATAGTAAAACACGAGGAAATCTGTGATAAAAATGTGATATCCAAACTATTGTCTATATAGCGTATTTCATGATTATAAATGTTACTCTATATATTTATAAAGCGATCGAGATCAATTCAAGATCGAAACAAAAAGCTACTAAACGAGTTCTCCTTCAGTCTAGAAGGAGAATTCATGTAAGTCGATCCGTTGAGGGTGATCTTTCGTATGGCACGCGAGCACGGTCACTTGTTCGGTAATCCACGGCTTGAGGGTACGCGAGTTGCCGGGCGTCCGGCCCGCGGGATAATAGAGTTGGCCAGATGATTTGTCGGATCGATCCCTATTTAAGGAAATTGGATCTGTAGATCGGGCGCGATAAGCGCGGGGGCGGAGCGGGGCGGGGCGGGGCGGGGCGGGGTGAATGGGGGGTACGAAATGAACGGTAAAAGTTCGCCGAGTAGCCCGTTATCACTGATTTGCGTATATCGATCGCTCCTCCTGTCGGTGGATTCGGAACTGTCCTTGTTTATACGATTTCGGCCAATTTCGCGAGACAACGAAGAGTCAAAATGCCATGGCATTTTTCCTTCGTGAGTTTATAAAATTATTATAAATAAGTCCAATCTTTCATTCATATTTGTGTGGTTGTATGAATCATTCTTTTATTCAAAAGGATGATTCATACAACTCAGACTCGGGTAAAATATATATAATGATAAAATAAAATAAAATCAGTTTTCTGATCATAGTTTTTCCAATAAGACATATAAATTCAATGAATGTTATTGAGAAAGTTTAAAAAAAAATAATGAATAAAAAATGCTTATCTTTTAATATGTAGTTCATCAGAACTGCTATAATTATATTGCAATCCTTTTATATTGTAAGAAGCCATTAGGATGGAATTATTAAACTTCTAACACTATGGTATCCAGAAAGAATTATAAACGTTAATCCAACATTTTTTAACTAAAATCATAGAATATAATTGGTAAATTATCTGACGAAAAAATATATACGTAGATCGGATATAATACTATGGGCGTAAATACATTCAATACAAATTGCTAGAATAAGTTGGTCAAATTTATTATTATAAGTAACTTAACTTAAATAACTTATGTTTGTGCGGGCCGGTCTGGGATTATTTACAAGTGAAATCGATATATCATGTGATTGGTTGCTAAAACTCGTTAAACGACAGCGTTTTAAATGTCATTATTTTACAAAATGATATAATAGCTACTTAAGTGTTATCAAAAGTATTAAATGTTTATGTTCACTGAAATATAATATTGCACTTAAATTTACTCTGATCTGTCCACTCATACGAATTAAGTTAGAAAAAGACAGAATCAATAAAACATTAGTTATTAAAATATGTAGAAAAAGTGCGAAAAGATTGTCGCCGCTGTGGGAATCGAACCCACGTCTTCGGCATTCGCGGCCTGACGCTCTAGCCACTGAGCTAAACGGCTGATTACCACACCGACGAAAATCTTAACGCATTCTTCCACATTGTTTTCTTTGCATTTGAAGCAATGCTTGGCGCCATCTATTGTTATATCCTTTCCAGCATACAAACAATGTATGTTTAATGTTCAATCTTAAGTGCAAAGATTAGCACCATAAACAATTTAAATTTCACACATTAGTTAGTTAAGAAACTTATCATAACATTAAAAAATTATGTCCAGTTAGTACAGCGAACTTTGTTGCATAATAATACACGTGGATTATATAGGTCAATGAACTCTCAAGGGCATCACTGCAATATATTCTTGGAAATAAGTCTGTTAAAGCAATTGATATAAGTATAAAATACTACCAGATGTTGTTAACATAACATTATCATTACAAAAGTTTTAGTGTTATACTAAATATTTACTCTCAATCGACATGTGCCTAAATTTAATAGATAGTTTTATAAAAGACACATTTATTTTAGAGATTCCCAATAGCGCTTATGAAAATTGGAAATGCGACGGTTTGAATGTGGCGGTGTATGAGAGACACTTGGATAACAATAAAGTAAAGTAACTGCCTGTACATGTCCCAGTGCTGGGCAAAGACTTCCTATGTACAGAGGGTATCCGAAATATATAAGGTTTGCTCACGACTTTCACCGTTGAGCACGTGATAAGTCAGCACTTAAAATTAAAATTAATCGATAGTGATCGATCTCAGGCTGCTCGTGTATATTGAATTAAAGGCGAGCGCCCGGACACTGAGCTATCACGGCTTATGTGAGCTATCACGGCTTATACGATAACGATAGACAGCTTATGATTATTATAATTACTGATATACTACATCAGTCCCGAATCGCGAAAAAGCTGTAGAGCCCATGCTTATTTTGAAATGAATCTATGACAAAAATCTACAATTGTCTTACTAAGAATTGAGGGAGGGAACACGGTCGCATCTGCGTCTTCGTTTTGTTCGCGTGTCACGTACATGAGTAATTTTAAAGGAGACCGGAAGGATAAGGATTCCATCTTGGCAACAGATGGCCTCTGTTTGGGGAAGTAATCGATGTCTATGGAAGCCATAGATAAGTGCTCTTTTACGTGACGCCGTTACGTGGAACAGGGTACGATTTATGTTTGTAATACACATGTAACAAACGACAGATACGAGCGGTGTTGACTAAAGGTGTGTAAACACTGGGTATATATACATGCACCCGGCGCAGAACATCAAATGGCTACGTTCTACGTGAACACGTAGAGGGTAACATATGATGTGCTACACTTCACCGTTCGATCGAGGTATGAAAAATGAACAGACCGTTCAGCTCATATATCCGCTACTCTCCTTTTGGTTTTATGTAGGTAATGGATAATTTATTTTTTGTCTTATTAAAGCGGTCAATATTTCTTGTAAGAAACGCCAGATTTTAAAGAAAGTTTACATAGTTTAGGTACATAAAATTTTTACGCACGTGGAACGTTGTTGAATTTAAAACTAGAGCATTCTTCTTTCTTTCTTCTCTGATTTTTATTATCACGGGAATATTGAAAAGTCATATTTAACTAATGTTAATTATAGGTTAAACGGGACAAGTTAGACTTTCTTTCGTCTCTTATCTCGCTGTACTAATACTAAAAAAAATAGCTAACTGTCAGGGGCCATGGGGATCATTAGTAAATTTAATGAATAATTCAGTTAAAAGTGTTGTTCGATAATTTCTTGTATTTACGTGATTGCACATTATTAAATTAAACTATATTTACAGATTAATCGCGTATATTTAAATTTTATTTCCCGAAGTTTCGAAACCTTTACTGCGTTCATGGTCACGGGCCGTGTAATTGGACATCTTAATGTCATAGTTAACCTGGGCTACCGTCAGTGTTTAAAATATTTATTTTGTGTCTAATCTACGCCGAATGAACTAATTATATCTTTTCTTGCATTAATGGTTCGTTTGGGTATCCGTCATTTAATAAAAGTGTTGTTTTTGTGATTCTGGTAGCTTTGTTTTATCCATCGCAGTGCAGGATGGAGTGACTACTATATTGGTGCCGGCACCGGGGATCGAACTCAGGTTGCTCGACTTCACCGCGGAACGTGGGACTTAAATTAAAAAAGGCGAGATCGAACTCCCGAGTTAAGGGAGAATTAAAGGCGAGCGCCCGGAGACTGAGCTATCACGGCTCGAATTTCAATTAACACATTAAAAACTAGTAACCGTGTGGAGAGGAAATTGTTTTGATCATTTGCCTATGAAGCTCACATTTAAAATTCATCATGAATACAAATAGAACTCCTACCATAAACTAATCGTAGATATAAACTATATAATATATTTGAAATATTCCTAGCACTTTTCATATTTATTTCCTCCTTTAAAGCAACCGTAAAGTTATTTGGCTTTTGAGTTATAGCCGGTTTTATGTCAAAAGGCGACTCCACATTTAAATGTAAAGAGGGAAAAATCGCATATCTAACTCCTCGGGGCGGCATGAAGCTGACTTTTGTTTTGTTTTAATTACACCCGCCGGTACCGGGGGCAGTTAAAAAGTTAATTAGGTTTAATTTTTAACTGCCGCGCGAGGGATTGGAGCCTCGACGGGCCGAAACTGTGTCGGCTTGGAACCGTTTGATGGAGGGATAGCGAGAGTTTTTTAACGGTCCTCAACGGTGATAAGAAGCTTACGGCCGTTCCGTCTTCGAATCTAGATCTGACTGTTCCAATTGAAATATTAAATGAAGACGATTATATTTATTTAAATGTCTTGCGAGAACGAGTGATTTTTTTATGGTTCAATTTTTAGTATCTCTTGAGATTGTATTAGAAAACACATCATAGAAAGAATTCAAAGCGTGTCAATAACCACTAGGGGTAAAATTGAAAGCATGTCAGAAATGTTCATAGATCCATATTATTTTAGTTATTAAATAGAATTATTTATTTGTGACTTAGACCAATATCAGTAATAACGAGAGAAAATTAAAGTGCATACATTTTTTGTAATGATAGTTATAATATAACTATCATGATAGTTATCGATTATGATAGTTATCGACTCTGCTTTTTCGTCTTTTGGTATCATTTAGTAGGTCAGTAGGTCTATTGGAGGTAAACTGGTGAGACAATTGGTTAATCATTGCGTTGATTGTTTCAGTGTAAGTGATATAAATATTAACATAATAGACAGTTTACTTCCAAAGATTTTTTTTATATTTTAAAATTTAGTACGGTCAAACAATTTGGGTTTATATATTGTAGAGCGATTGTGTTAATCGCACGAAGTTTTGAACACGTGTAGTCCGACAGTCTCTAGTGAGGTAGCAGGTAGCAGAAGTGTAATGTTCCCCTTATATAGGGCTCTTTGGCCAGCTGTGGGACACGTAAAATACAATATATATAACACAAAAGATCGGCTGCCTCCAGGGGTTAAGGGATGTTATGTGGATGTTCTTACCAACGAAAAACTCTACTAAACCAATCTCGATTACTTGCGATCTTTTCGGAAGGTAATATAATTGTCAATAGGAGTACGTTGCTACTTTACTTTTACAGAAGTAATGCGTTGCAGGTGTCCAGACTACGGATAAGACTCTGCAAATAAAAATGGTCTTCAAATCACTGACAATTAATGCAAATAACCGACAAAGTGCGAATCTATAAGTCCATTATCTATAAGACTGTTGCTAGACAACGGTTGCTAGGCAACCGACTCGCATGGGAGCCGCCTAAAATACTTTTTATTTGATTCTGTTTTTAAGTATATGTTGTTATGGCGACAACAGAAATACATCATCTGAGATAATTTTAACTCTCTAAACATCACGGTTAATGAGCAATAGCCTCTTACACCTATGACAGACAAACAGCGGAGTCTTAGTAATAGGGTCCCACATTATCGTTTGGGTACGGAACCCCAAAAACCGTTAATTCTATTTGAGCATCGAAGTTCGTTTTGGTTTAATTTAGTCAAAGTTTAAGTATTATACACTTTTGTACAATTCGTACGGGTTAATAATGTATGTACCAATGTAATGTATGTGCCAGGAATGTATGTACTTATATACGCCGGAATATCAAAACCACATTGTTTGTACTGTCTTTTCT